GCCTTCCTAATTACTTGTTGTACCTGCAGACCTACCTTCTGTGATTCATGCACAAGGACACCCAGGTCCGTCTGCATAGCAGCATGCTGCAACTTTTTACTATTCAAGTAATGATCCTTTTTACTATTACTCCTACCAAAATGTATGACTTCACATTTATTTACATTGTATTCCATCTGCCAGACCTTTGCCCACTCACTCAATGTATCTATGTTCCTCTGCAAAGTTTCACAGTCCTCTGCACACTTTGCTTTGCCACTCATCTTAGTGTCATCTGCAAACTTTGACACCCTACACGTGGTCCCCAGCTCCAAGTCATCTATATAAATTGTAAATAATTGCGGTCCCAACACCGATCCCTGAGGCACACCACTAGTCACTGACTGCCAGCTAGAATAGCACTCATTTATCCCCACTCTTTGCTTCCTGTTAGTCAACCAATCCTCTATCCATGCTAATACTTTACCCTTAATGCCATGCATCCTTATCTTATGCAGTAGCCTCTTGTGCGGCACCCTGTCAAAGGCCTTTTAGAAGTCTAGGTACACCACATCCACTGGGTCCCCATTGTCCACCTCGCTCGTAATGTCTTCATAGAATTCCAAAAGATTTGTCAAGCATGACCTGCCCTTCATGAACCCATGCTGCGTCTGCCCAACGGGACAATTTCTATCAAGATGCCTTGCTATTTCTTCCTTGATAATAGACTCAAGCATCTTCCCCACTACAGAGGTTAAGCTAACTGGTCTATAATTCCCCATCTTTTGTCTACTTCCCTTTTTAAACAGTGGCGTCACATTTGCTGTTTTCCAATCTGCTGGGACTGCCCCGGAGTCCAGCGAATTTTGGAAAATTACCGCCAGTGCACCTGCTATTTCTCCTGCCATCTCTTTTAGGACCCTGGGATGCATTCCATCAAGGTCAGGAGACTTATCAATCCTTAGCTCCATTAGCTTGCCCAACACTACCTCTTCCATAATTATGATTGTTTCCAGGTCCTCACCTACCTTCGTCTCTTTGTCTATTACTGGCGTGTTATTAGTGTCCTCCACTGTGAAGACCAATACAAAATACCTGTTCAGTGCCTCGGCCATTTCATCATATCCCATAACTAAATTCCCCTTCTCATGCTCTAAAGGGCCAACGTTTACTTTAGCCACTCTTTTTCGTTTTATATATTTATACAAACTTTTCCTATCTGTCTTTATATTCTGTGCTAGTTTTTTCTCATGTTCTATCTTACTTTTCCTTATAGCTCTTTTTGTGGCTTTCTGTTGACCTTTAAAGTTTTCCCAATCTTCTAGTTTCATGCTCTTTTTGGCCACTTTGTATGCCTCCTCTTTCAATTTGATAGCCTCCCTTATTTCTTTAGACACCCATGGCAGATTACCCCTTTTCTTACAGTCCTTCCTTTTCATTGGAATATACTTTTGCTGAGCACTTTGAAAGATTGCTTTGAAAGTCCTCCACTGCTCGTCAACTGTCCCACCATAAAATCTTTGTATCCAGTTTACTTTAGCCAAGTCCTCCCTCATTCTATTGTAGTTCCCCTTGTGCAAGCACAGGACCGTTGTATTGGATTTTATCTTCACACTCTCCATCTGTATTCTAAATTCAACCATACTGTGATCACTCCTTCCAAGAGGATCCCTAACTATGAGGTCATTAATTATTCCTGTCTCATTACACAGGACCCGGTCTAGGATAGCTTGCTCCCGCGTTGGTTCCATTACATACTGTTCAAGAAAATTATCACGGATACACTCAATGAACTCCTCCTCAAGGCTACCCTGACCGAGCTGGTTCGACCAATCTACATGTAGGTTAAAATCCCCCATGATAATTGCCGTACCATTTTTACAGGCATTAGTTATTTCTTTGTTTATTGCCCGCCCCAATGTGATGTTATTATTTGGTGGCCTATAGACTACGCCTATCAGTGACTTTTTCCTCTTAGAATTTCTAATTTCCACCCAAATGGATTCAACCTCATTCTCCATAGAACCTATATCATCTCTCAGCACCGCCCTGATGGCATCCTTGAATATCAGGGCTACACCACCTCCCTTACCTTCCTGTCTGTCCTTCCGAATAGTCTGGTACACTTGGATATTTAACTCCCAGTCGTGACCATCCTGTAACCATGTCTCCGTAATGGCTACCAAATCATATTCATTCGCAATGATTTGTGCCGTTAACACATCAACCTTGTTATGAATGCTACGAGCATTCAGGTAAAGTGCCTTTATGCTAGCTTTCTTACCCTCATGATTTCCAAATGTGACAGGGAAGGAGAAATTGGAAGAACGGGTTAGAGTGCTTACAGGGAGCAGGGTCTGATGTATAGTCCAGGTAACTGTGAGAGTTCATAGATTTGTAATGGATATCAGTAGCCAGCTTATCTCCAGAAATGGAAACAGAGATGTTGAGAAAGGGAAGATTCAGAAACGGACCAGCTAAAGGTGAGGGCAGGATGGAAATTGGAAGTGAAATTAATAATGTTTTAAAATTTTTGCAGTTCAAAATGACAGAAGGAAGCAGAACCTCAGCATTGGGCCCTTATTCTCAGTCCGTACAAGCAGAAGTTAGAACACTGTTCACGAAGCCAAGTGGCCAATGCAGATGCCTTGAGCCGCCGCCCACTGAAGAAAAGTTGTGGGGAACGACCCAAGTAGGATTAGAACAAGAAATGTTCCATGTACCCCACAAAGAGACAGCCATGACTGTGGCCAATGCAGGTACCCATGGCCACAGCGTTGACCTCAAAAAGATGAGGAATTAAAGGAGAAGTTGTTGAAAGTGAGGACGAACTCAGCGAGGAGGGTGGTGATGGTGGATGGGGACGGTTCAGGCCTTTTTTCCACGAATTATTGAAAAAATCTGAGACTAACCTGATGGGGGATGGATGTGTAAAAGAATTGCGTGCCATGGTGAGGAGAATGGAGCTCCTTCCCAAGAACTGGAAATTTTGAAACCGACATAAAGCGTCAGAAGAATTGCGAATGTAGGCAGGGAGGGACTGGACAAGGGGAGAAATAAATAGTCATACAGCACGAAAACAGTTATCCACGCTGACCCAAACTAAATTGTCACATGTGCCTGCACTTATCACTCTAAATCTTTCCTATTCATGTACCTATCGAAATGTCTCTTAAATGTTGTAACTGTTGTAACCGTGTCTGCGTGGGTTTCCTCCAGGTGCTCCGGTTTTCTTCCACAGTCCAAAGATGTGCAGGCTAGGTGGATTGACCATGCTAAATTGCCCATAGTGTTCAGGGGTATGTGGGTTACAGCGGGATGGGTCTGGTTGGGATGCTCCAAGGGTTGGTGTGGACTTGTTGGGCCGAAGGGCCTGTTTCCACACTGTAGGGATTCTGTATTTGCATCTACCACATCCTCTGACAGTTCATTCCACGTGGGAACCACCCTCTGCGTGAAAAAGTTGCCCCTTGGGTGCCTTTTAAATCTATGTCCTCTCACCTTAAAATTATGCCCCCTCGTATTGAACGCCCCAATCCTGGGTAAAAGACCTTGGCTATTCACCTTACCTATGCCCCTCATGATTTTATCAACCTCTATAAGGTTTATAAAAAGGTTCACCTCCAGTGAAAAAAGTCCCAGCTTTTCCTTGTAACTCAAACCACCCCCCACGCCCAGCCCCAGTAACATCGCTGTAAATCTTTTCCGCACCTTCCCCAATCTAAAAATATCCCTCAATGGCAGGGACCGGAACTCTACACAGTACTCCAAAAGTCAAGGTAGGAAGAAATAAGATCTGTGGGGCAGGAACAGGTAGAAACAATGGGTCTTCCCGGGCAGTGCCATTTGTGGATTTTGGTGGAAAAGGGTAGAAACGGGCTGTATGGAATTGGAGACTGTGAGCTAGGAGGCTGTTGGGGGTAGATCCCCAGATGAGATGAGGTTGGTGACGGTCATGGACACAATGGTCCAGGGAGAGTAGGAGGAGGTGTCCAAAAGCTGACACTCAAGCCTATGCAATGTGGAGGTCAGTACGCCATACAACAATGGGTTGCTTTTAGCATTCTCACCTACTCCTATACCTAGTATCATATTTACAAGGGTTACATTCACTGCAGCTCAGCCAGTCTCTTCATCTCCGTATTTACCTACCCCTTTCATCTTTCTCTCTCCACCTATCGACTCACCCTCTCCCACCAACTTCGTCTTTAGCGCAAATACCACTTTTTTTGTTACAGCAGCTAGCAGCAATGCTGATGAGAACTCGATACGTTAACTGTTATCTTCCCACAGTTGCTGCCAGACTTGCTGAGTTTCGCCGGCAATTTATGTTTGCGTTTCTGATCCGCATCCGCAGTTGTTTGTTCTATTCTGTGTTTACTATGCCAGTGTGAAGAAAGATGAGGGGTAAAACTTCTGTATCGATAGGAAAGGGCAGAAATAGCCACTCTATTTCGGCGGCTCGATACCCCGAACTGTCCGCGCCATCAGCAGGGCGTCGCCTAGAGGCTTGTTCTGTTGGTCGGGAATCTCTTTGTGTTTCCCTGACAGCGCTCACGCTCCTGACGCTGACAGTTGGGGCCTCGCGCTGACTAACGGCTCTCTATGTGGCGGGGGAGGACTGAAAGGCTAATTGGGAGGGGATGAATGACTGACAGTTCACTCAGACACAGCCGCCCAATTGAACGACGGTCGAGAGGGCGGGAAATTACTTTGGCCAACGGTCGATGCCGTCTCTTCTGCGTGCGGTTCGTCTGACCAATGCGTGTCGACACACACACACACACACACACACACACACACACACAGCTGAGAAGGGTGGGGCTCGAGCTGGATTGTTGGGTGACGATCGAGAGCGTGGCAGCGACGGGAATGAATGACGGTTGAAGTGGCCAATAGAGTGGCGGTTCAACGCGCGGGATAAACACTATCCCATGAGGACTGGCCATGGTTGGACCGCCCCGAAGAAGATGTTGTCGAAATGGCCAATAGATTGCGAGTAGGGGGCGGGACAATCCTAGATAATTGCGGGACGACGTGGAGGGGGGAGCTTGGGCTGTGATAGATGAGTGACGGTGGACTGGTCACTGACGGCTGGTTGTACTGGCTGCGGGTGGCCTGCGCTATCAGGAGCTTATCCCGTTGCTTCCATTCGCATTCATGGCATCGGCGGTGGTGGTAACGAGCTGCGAGGTAGGTGAGGCGATCGTCGCCGGTGGCGCTGTTAATGTCGCCGCCACCGCTACCCCTGGTCTGGAGCAGAAGAAGTTCGAATACTTCTCTTCTATCAGTCCTATGGCCCGAAGGATCATGCTGGAGAGGCAGAAAATCCGCGAGAAGTACGGGCCGCGCTGGGACACGCTGGAGCCCAGAGAGCAGGAGGAGATAATCGACAACTGGATGGTGGATCCCCAGATCCGCAGCCGGTACAACTTGCATCGCAGCCAGAGAGAGGAGACGGTCTGCTATCCCAGACTGCAGCTCCAAACCGGCCAGAAGGTTGTACATTTCGGAGAGGAGGTGAGGGGCGGATGCTTCTTGGAGTCTCTTAGCTTGGGGTGGGTTGGGCGCTGCTATTTTCGCCACGATTAAAAATTACATCGTTTTTACTTGCAAAGGAAACGGGAACAGGCGTGAGGCTGACCAAGCCCTTTAAAACGGTGAACTACAAAAGCGCCTCAATTTTAAAATTTATAAGTGTAAGAAAATCCTTGTCTACTTGAGGGTTAATTCTTTACTCATCCGCAGTATGTGAGGAATGTATCCTGGATCTGTTGCAATTGAAGCTCTGTGGCTTTTTTCTCTCCAAGTCTTGCCTGCCTCAAGTGTTTCTTATAAGGCGGCCCTTGTACAGGGAGGCGCGATGTGTAAGAAATTACTAATATTTAGTCATTCTCGAAATTTATTGACATTTTAAAATTACATGTTTGGCAAACTTCAATTAACTGCGGAATTTAAGAAAAAAATACGAAATGCTCGGAAAGCTTTGTATTGTCTAGCAACGTTTATGGAGAGCCAAAAAAAAAATTAACGTTTTAGGCAGAAGATATGGGAGGCCAGGATTTGGAATGAAATTCGGAAAAGCATTTACACCAAGCCTGGTGAAAGTTTGGAGCTCTCTTTGCAGATGCAATTGATGTTGGATGTAAATGTTAAGTGTGAGATTGTCATTTTTTTTTTTTTTCTTATTTCAAGAGATGAAGGGATATGGGGTTATGTTGTAGATTAGCATGATCTCGTGAAGGGATAGCTGAACATATGAATTACAAGTGAGGAGGCCCTACTTTGCTTTCGGAGAACATTACGGCTGACTTCAATTGTGTTCTCAATGCCGTGTTCCTGCCTACCATCAATCCCCTTTGACCAACTTGTTAGTCAAAAACGTATGTTCTTCTCCTTAAAATGTATTCAGTGACCCTGCCTTCAGTGCTCTGAGGAAGAAAATTCCAGAGACACTTAACCTTCTGGGAGAAACAGGCTCAATGGACTAAATGTCTGGCTCCTGGTTCAATTGGATTTCACATTTCCAGCATGTCCGAATGCAATAAAGTATCTTGACTTGTCTATCTTTCAAGTGCCAGCAGTTTGCATTTGTTGGTTCAGAAGGTTGTATGTTCATACTTCACAAAAAGAAACTTTCAGCACTTAAGTAGACTGAATGCAGAGGATGGTGGAAAATGTTAAATAAAATAGGGAACACATTACCTCCTGGGTAAGCAGCGAGAATAGGTGTGTGTTGTTCTGTAAGGTACTTGGGAGTAAATAGTTTATTTTGTGGATACCATCCACAAAACTAGATCATATGTTACTTCCCAGATGCTAGATTTAAGATGTCATAACTAATACAAATAATTCTGGAATAGGATAACAAGCAACCAGAGGTTCCTATGTGAACCACAGTGAGGTAGATAGGACTAGGTTCGATTCATGACAAAAGGTGCTAAATTATAGGTTAAGGATTAGGCTTCCCCAGTTGGCACTGTCAGTCATACACACTGGGCCAGAGGTAGAGAGAAGTTGTCAGCATGTGGCTGGAAGCATAAGTAGAAGAAAGAGAATCAAATTTCTTGCACAATGGGACCACTTTTTTGTGCCAGTGATAGCTGTACATACAAAAAGCTTCACCTGAACTGCAAAAGTGCCATTGCTTGTGGAAGGGGTAAATAGTGTGATTATAATAATTTAAACTAGTTAGTTAGGTGAAAGGGAAAATCCACTCTGTCAAAAGAAACTAGTATAAATAGATCAGTAGGACATGTGGGTTTGGTGGGGAGAGAGATCCAAATAAGACTTCTGTGCACAAATGCACGAAGCATGAAAGAAAGCAAGAGTTCAAACCACAAACTCAACTTGAAGAGCATATTGTAACTTGACTGGATGAAATGTAATGATGCAAGTATTCCAGGCATTTGAATTTCTACAAAGGATTTGAAAAGGACAGGGTAGGTGTAGAAAAAGGTCTGCATACGAACAGGGGGAAAGTTTGCTCTTGTAGAGAACAGGCACAGAGAAGTTGGACTGAATGGCCTCCTATCACTTATAACCTTTTCAGTAATTTAATGTTGATTACAAATAGAATTGAGGAAAAATGAATTTCACTAAGGGTGATCTGGTGGTGGAAACAAAAACAGAAGTTGCTGGAAAAGCTCAGCAGGTCTGGCTGCATCTCTGAAGAAAAAAAATCAGAGTTAATGTTTCGGGTTGATTGACCCTTCCTCAGAACTGGAAATGTTGCTGGCAGAGACCAAAATATGCAAAAGATGCAATATTCTGATGTAAATTGGATACCAACTTGTGATAATAGAGGTGAGGTGGTGTAAATATTGAGATCAGGGAGGCAAAAGCCAAAATAATGTAGTTATATGGGAAGTTTTTATGTTTACACAGCCGAAGTCGTAAAGTGATTGATTGTACTCCTAGAATGTAGTTAGGGTAGTTTTCTAGATGTATTTTAAAATCAATAAGGGAACAGGCTATTCTGCATTTAATTAAGAATGACAAAAAAAACTTAACAATCTTACTATGAAGGAACATATTGCAAAATGTTTTTGTAACATAACTAAATTTGACACTAAGTTTCAGCTGAAGATGTACATGTCATAAACCAAGATCTTCAATTTAGGGAGGCAAACTTTGAATAGATGAAAAATGATGTAACCCCAGCTAACTGAACTGTGAATACTTTCTGCTGTTTGTAGGTTTACAAATTTAAAGAACTCTATAAATGCTTGCTGCAAAATCCTTAAAATCTTTGTGTAAGCAGTAATGGTCAAGAAATTAGTTAAGAGAAAATTTCAGGCTAAAAGAAACAACTTATGCAAATGTACATGTGGTGTTCCATAGGAATCTGTAGTGGACACTGAGCTTTTCACATGTCTGTTAACTTATTAGTGCACATCCAGGTAAGCAAATAACACTAAATTAGGAAGTACGTTATGTTGTTGTAAGTAGAAAGTTACACATGAACATAGGACTAATTGAGTGGACAAAACTATGGCAAATGGAGGTCAGTACAAGAAATTTGAAGTCAATTTACTTTGGAAAGACAACAATTTCTTAATGGTGAAAGTCTAAACTGTGGAGGAGAACGTGGATAATCATGTATCCAGATCAGTAAAAGTTAATGATGACGTGCATAAAGTAATTAGGCTTATTGGAATTATGCCCCAACTATTCCAACTGTGACTCTTGTGTGGCATGAATGTTACTTGCCAGTTGTCATCACAAGCCAGGATATTGTCTGGATCTTGCTGCATTTGGACATGGACTGGTTGGTATCTGAACAAATGTAGTGATGCTGAACATCAATAAATTTCTCCAACAAGAGAGAATCTAACTATCTCCCCTTGATACAATTGTCATTGTATCTGACACTGTCACCATTCTGGGAGTTACTATTGACCAGAAACTGAACAGTGCCATAGTTACTGGATCAGATGCTAGTGTCCAGGCCCGACCATCTTCAGTTGTTTCATCAATGACTTTGCTTCTGACCTAATGATGGAAGTAGAGATGTTTGCAGATTATTGCACAATATTCACTGCTCCAAGCAGTCCAAGTGTGTATCTGTATGCACTAGAACATGGACAATGTTCAGACTTCTGGTCATAAAACAGGGCAGGACTTGTATAGTCAATGGTGGACCATGGGGAGTGTTGCTGGACAAAGAGACCCAGGGGTGCAGGTGAGTTTGTTGAAAGCGGAGTCACAAGTAGACAGGGTGGTGAAGAATGCTTTTGGCAAGTTTGCCTTCATTGTTCAGTTCATTGAGTATAGGATTTGGGATGTCATGTTGTGACTGTACAAGGTATTAGTGAGGCCGCTTTTAGAATACTGCATTTAGTTCTGGTCTCCTGCTTTGGGAAATAAGTTGTGAAACTTGAAAGGGTTCAGAAAAGATTCATCAGGATGTTGCCAGGATTGAAGGATTTGAGCTAAAGGGAGAGTCTGAATAGGCTGGGGCTTTTTCCCTGGACTGTCAGAGGGGTAAACTTGCAGAGGTTTATAAAATCATGAGGGGCATGGATAGGGTGAATAGTCAAGGTTTTTCTCAGGGTAGGGGAGCCCAAAACTTGAGTATAGGATTAAGGTGAGAGGGTAAAGATTTAAAAGGGACCGAAGGAGCAACCTTTTTCAAGCAAAGGGTGGTGGATATTTAGAATGAGCCAGAGGAAGTGGTGGAGGCTGGTAAAGTTACAACACTTAAAAGGCATCTGGATGGGTACATGAATAGGAATATGGGCCAAATGCTGGCAAATGGGACTACATCAGTTTAGGATATCTGGTTGGCGCAGAAGAGTTGGACCAAAGGGTTTGTTTTCGTGCTATAAAACTCTATTACACCATAAGTGGTAAGCAAAATTTACGCTTTGGATGTTCTGGACAATGACTATTTAAAATGATAGAATTTTTGCAGTCTTCTCTTGACAAATTTTAAGCATGAATATTTTTGTATTGGAGACTAATACTTTTATCAGCAATTAAGTTAGCCTAATTGTTTTGTGTACATTGTAGGTTTGCAGTTGATTATGGGTGTGGTTTTTAGATATTTTCTAGTCAACTTGTTCAAAGATATTATTAGTCCTGAGCAGATGGGATGTGAACACAAATCTCCTGGCTCAGCGATATGGAAATTGGCACTACACCATAAGAACTCTTTGGGTGTGGTGTTCATAATAATCATTTGAAAATAATATCAATGAATCCAGTTGATGTAATAAATTACTATATGACTGCTACCTGACCTGTTCTTTGACATGAAATTGGAGATTTTTTGTTTTTTTTTTGTTAATTTTTGCTTTATGGCTTGTATAACCTGTTCTGGATCTGAGTTTTTCACTAATTTCTGCTCTGATACTGAACAAATAAACAGTCATGTGGCATAACATGTCCTTGAGGTGCAAAGCTATTTCCCTGATGGGATATGATGAATGTTTATTGAGCAGTCTGTGTGTAGTTTGAATGTTTTGTGAGACTGCACATTGGCCAAATTTATTTAGTATGATGGAAATAAAAATACACCACTTGCACTAAATATGAAATAATCAAAGTACAAAAAAACTTGACAGTTTTTCACCACACTCTTAGTAATGGTTTCTAATATCTTTCGAAGCACTGATCTTTATCGGGCAATTAGCAAAAATAGCTGCCTTGAACCACTACAGTCCATGTGCTGTAGGTTTCTCCTCAATGCCCTCTGAGGGAAGTCCAGGATTTTGACCTAGTGACAGTGAAGGAATGGTGATATTTCTAAATCAGGATGATAAGTGGCTTAGAGGGCAACTTGCAGGTGGTGCTATACATATGTATCTGTTGCCAATGTCCTTCTGGCTGGAAGTGATCATGAGTTTGCATGGTGCTTTGAATTTCAACAATGCAACTTGCAGACAGTAGCACTATGTACTACAGAACGTTGGCGGTGGAGGGAATGGATGCTTCTAGATGTGGTGCCAATCAAGCGGGCTGCTTTATCCTTGTTGTCAAGCTCCTTGTGTATTGGAGCTGCACCCACCGATACAAGTGGGGAATATTCCATCATAATCCTGACTTCTGCCTTTGTAGATGGACAGGCTTTCTGGAGTCAGGTGAGTTACTTGCTGCAGTATGGCCAGATTCAGCCATGATCTCACTGAATGATGGAACATATTCAAGGGGCCGAATGGTCTACATTTCTTCCTATTTGAAATAACTCTACGAAAGGCTGGTATCCTGTCACCAAGTTGCCCTTTATTCTCACGTGCATAGTACATGACACCAACCCAGCCAGCACAGAGCCGGCTCCTAGAGTGAGCAGAACCCCTGTCACGTTTATGTCAGCCAGAGTTCCCCAATTGGACCAGGTTAACAGTCCCAATCAAGAAACTCATATTCTGAGATCCACCTGGCTGACTTCATTCCAATCACCATGTTATGAATATTTTTTCTTTGTTAACCATTTTTAGCATGAAGGTGTTAAGGTAACTAAGGCCAATAGTGTCTTTTCTTGAGATCTAACAATAACTGGAAACAGAACTCTACTTGAATTGAGATGAATTTTGTGTGCAGGCTGTATCCTTTGTCCTTCAGAGACCGTATGTGAGATCAAATACTAGTAGGACTTTGAACTGGTCAGCTATTACAATGTTTCAAGGAAACACTTCAACTTTATTTTGAAACAAAATATAATACAATAGTTGGGGTCTGTTCAGTATAATAAAATAAACAGTTACAAAAAGTCAAGGAAAAGAAAGTGGAGACTGAAAGAATTGAATGAGCAGCAAAAGCTTCTTGTGCTTACTTCAGACCTTTATGGTGTTAGGTGTGGTTCAACGAATAAGAGTCACCTGAATCCGGTTGTGGGGCTTAAGTTAAATTCAGAAACCCAAGCACAAAATCCAGACTGAGTTCAATGCAGCAGCAAGGGTTTGCTGCACTTTAAGGTTTATGATTGGTTAAATTGATGTGTCCTCAGGTAGTCTTAAAGACTTATTACTGATTATCTGGTCACTATCCATTGCTGTTTGTGGGACTTCACTACATGGAAATTACTTGCTACATTACAACAGTGATCAAGCTTTAAAAGTACTTAATGGACTGTAAAGCATGCTGACAGCTGAGGCCATGAAAGATACTATACACGTAACATTTTATTGTGTTCCTCTATGTATCTTGTAACAAACACATTTTGAAACTTTTTTTTTACCATTTTAGGATATTACATGGCAAGATGAGCACTCTGCACCGTTCTCTTGGGAAACGAAGGTAAACCATCTCTATTCTTCCTTTATCATAGTAAAGATTGGTCATTTGTTTTTGTGCATAAAATGTACAAAAAATTAAATCCTGTGTTAAGTATACATGCATTTATTTTGTGCTCAAAAACAATCTGAGTTTTTACTTATGCGTTCGTTTGGTATACAACTGCTGCTTATCAAAAAGTAAACTAAATGCAACTGAAATGTACTCAAACCATAACAGCAAAACACATCATTGAAGTTTCTAAATGAGGATATTTGAAAAATGAATTAATCCACCTAATAACATTTAATATCAATGTTTCTTTTCCTGAGGGCACAGCTGTAATTGATATTGTGGCAAACTACTTATCTTTTGTGCCTTGTTACAGACAAAAGTGATGCAGTGACAACAAGTCACTGGCATGCTTATTTAGCTATGACGCAGATTGGGGTTCTCCAGCATTTTCTCTTGAGGTCCCCTTCATATTGTGTTTCCCAAAAAAAAATGGAGTAACAAGTTTTTTTATACAATTAAAGATTGGTATTGATTTGTTAATGTGAAATCAGTTTCTGGTGCTGATCAACAATCCTGTCATGAATTGGAAGCGTTTTGGCAAGTGCACATATATGTCTTAGTGGCTCTGTCCTTTTGTTTTCTTTGCATTGTATCAGCCATGGCTCAGCTGCTAGCATTCAGTTGGAACTCTTAAGTCATGTGATTGTAGGATTTAAGTCCTATTCCAGACTGTAGACATCAAAATCAAGGCTGACACTCCAGTATAGTACCAAGGGAGTGCCAGAGTGTTGGAAATGCCATCTTTCAGGTGCGACTAAAAACTGAGAGGCTCACTCAGTTGGGTGTAAAAGATCCTCTGAAGCTATTTCTGCTTTCTTGGCCAATATTTATACCACAATCAACAGCACACAACTGGATCATCTGATTTGAATTGCTGTTTGGAGGTGTTTACTATGCACAACTTGGCTGCTGCATTTTGTAAATTACAAAAGTGACTACATTTTGAAAAATATTTTTTTGGATGTAAAGCACTTTGGGATATCTGGTGATCATGAAAGATGCTAAATAGATAGAATGTTTGTTTTTAATTGCAAAAATGTTAGTTAAGTTGGTTGTGCAAGATGAGGCCATCACTTTTTGATGCCATGTTCAGTTGCACCTGGGCTAGTGTAATTGTGCTTCATGTGTTATTTGAACAGGGGTGACTGGATGACATTCAGGACGGGGAATCCTAGCTGAGTTTAATTTTTCCTTACAGCAGATATTGGAGGTATTCCTATTGTCATTAATCATAAGATGGCCAACTGAGTGCAAACCAGGAAACTAACCAAGGCATTCCTGTGTTAATAGTGGATTAGATTTGTATTTTTCAGTGATTCAGTGGAGGTGTACGACAGGTCTAGATGGCATTTATTCTGATTTTATCAGCACTCTAGGACTGCTGGTACCACATAGGATGTTGTTTGTACGAGCAGTTTGATCCAGTCTTCTTTCACCCCAGTACATGTTTTAAGTGTACTTAACTGTGTTCAATGGTTACACCTGAATTCCAGTACAACTGAGTGAAAGTTACTAGTGTTAATTACTTAGTAGTGAAAGAAAAAGACTCAAACCAAAGGTGAAGGTATTCAATTTGGCAATGTTTAAAAACAATTGATTTAAAAATCATGTGGTATAGTGGTAGTGTCCCTACCTCTGCCAGAAGGTCCAGGTACCAAACCCAAACTGTCAGAGGTATGTCATAATCTGAGCAGGTTGATTTAAAATAACTATAACTTATTTTCTTGGCATGTGAATGTTGCTGGTTAAGCCAGCAATTCTTCCCGTCCTTAATTGACTTTGAAATGGCAGTGGTGAGTCAAATATATACAAGACTTGAGAAAATTAAAAACTATAAACAATTGCCGGATAAAATATGGGTGCTTGTTCAGCTTGGTGCCTGGATTGAGTATTTTTTCCCCTGAACTGATCAATTCTGAGACACGTTCAGGTTCTTAAAATCATTAAAAAAAGCAAAAAAAAAAGTAAACCTGTGGTCAAGAACACCTGAAAACAGATTTAAAAGTGTGTAATTAGTGAGTGGCAGGCTGAAATGACCAGCAAAATGACCAAGGAGGAGTCAGAGACTAAGGCCTGTAAGACTAAGACTAAGAGGAAGAACGGACAGGAGAGGTGACTGAAGACAACAGGACTGTTGGTTGAAGCGTACTTGTTTTTAATGTGAGGAGTATGGCAGATGAACTTAGAGCCTGGATTAATACATAAACTACGATGTTGTAGCCATTACAACATCAGTAGCTGGTGGAGAGAGGGACAAGACTGGCAGCCTAACATTCCATGATTTTAGATGTTTCAGGTGTGATAGAGATGTAAAAGGTTGGGTAGGGGTTGCATTACTGATTAGAGGGAGTAAGAGTAAGGGAGTCCTGGAACTGTACAAGATGCTGATTAGACCATATCTGAAGTACTGAGTAGTTTTGATTCCCTCATTTAAGGAAAGATATCATTTCATTGGAGGCAGTTCAGAGAAGTTTTGCTTGGATGATCCTCAGTACATGGGGATTATCTTTTAGTAAAGGCTAAACAGTTTAAGACTCTACTCATTGGAATTTAGATTCTTAAGGAACTTGACAGGATAAATGCTGAGAGGATGTTTTTCCTCCTGGCAGAGTCGAGGACCAGACGGCATAGTCTCAATTCAGGGGAGCCAATTTAAAACTGAGCTGAGGAGGAATTTCTTCTGAGGGTTGAGCGTCTTTGTAACTCCACAGCACAGAGCCATGGGGGCAGTGAGACCCTTGACCAGTAGGGAACCCAAGAGTTATGGGGAAAAGGGCAGAAAAGTGGATACAAAGAGTGCTGGGTGAGCAATGATCCTATTGAATGGCACAGCCAGCATGAGGGGTTGAATGTCCTGCTCTTGCATTTACCGGAGATTGTGGAAAATTGACTGAATTAAACCAGTGACTTACTGTGGCCACAGGAGTGGATCAAAGACGAGGAATTCTGAGGGGAGCCACTTGCTACTTAACTCAAGTGCCTGCCTTGGCAAAAGCAAAGGGGGGAATATTGTCCACTTTCCTTGATGAATGTAGTGCTAACGACACATGTTCTGCATTATCCAGGACAAAGCATCCTGCTTGATTACCTCATCCACCACCTTAACTATTCACTACTTTCTCCATTGTTGCATATTTGTACCATCTGCAACATGCACTGGAGAACTTAGAGCTTCTTTCAATAACACTGTTGCAACCCGTGACCTCTACCACCTAGAAAGGCAAGGGTATTAGGCATGCAGGAACCCCTCTGGCTGCGTGAACCTCTAAATTACACACTACTGATGTAGAGGAATTTCTTATTTATTTTATGGGATGTGGATGTCGCTGACTGGCCAACATTTATTGCCCATCCCTAGTTACCTTTTGAGAAGAGGGTAGTGAGCTGCTGCTTTGAACCACAAGTCCACCTGCTGTGGATTGATCACAATGCCACTGGGGAGGGAATTCCAGGATTTTGACCCAGCGACAGTGAAGGAACAGCAATATATTTCAAAGTCAGGATTGATTGTGGCTTGGAGAGGAACTTGGAGGTGGCAGAGTTCCCATGTACCTGCTGCCCTCATCCTTCTAGATAGATGCAGTTGTGGAATGTTACTGTTGCTTCAAAAACCTGTCAGGTAAAGGACAATCTGCTCTGTACCTCTTCCTACATTTAGTTGTTTTTGAGATTGAGTTCAAAATTGTTGCAGTTAGATTTTATTTCAGCTGCCAATACATTCCATTTTTTAATGAAAGGATATGCTTATATGCTGCTTTTTAATTGGAAAAATTTTTATAGGAAGGTATTTGTGGGAAGAATGTTATTTGAAAGTACTTCTCCATGGGAAAGAACATTGATATTTCCCAGAAAGTTGTTTTTTGGACAACCATTACTTTGCAGATTGACTGTATAGGAAACCAGGAGGTAAGTCACTGAATTAATGTGACAACAAAGACAAAACCTGAGATCTCACAAAAAGCTCAATGCCGAGCAAGAGCATGTTTCCTGTGTAATGTGGCTCCAGAATTGTTTCACAGTCCATCATTGGTCACAAACTCTTCTACGCAACCTCTCCAGAAAAATGTTGCCAAAAAAATTGTCAAATTTAAATTTCCGTATTGACTTTGAACTGAAAATATTTTGCCTTCATGTTTCTCTTTTGTAAGTGCAAATAATTTTATCAATTGCAGAGTCAGATGGAATTCAATTTTGCCTCTATTGCTGCTTCTGAACAAGGAGTTTCTGTACAAAGTGAACAACGGCAGCCTGTCAAGACATCCCAAGGAAACCATCAACTTAAAACATCCCAAGGAGGGCTGCCAACCAAACCACTGCAAAATGGAAAAACACCAAGCATAGATGGTCTTACACAAGTCAGAAAAGAAGAGTCATCCTCCTTTTGGAAACTGAGTAATGAAAGATCCAGGCTGGAGGGCGAACAATCTGATTACCAGTATGTAACCCCAAGTCAGATTAAGTCAATGGAGAAAGGGGAAAAGCCACTTCCTTCCTACTTAAGACAAGAATCATTACCTAAGGATAAAGATGAAAATAAATCCGAGAAACCTCGGGTGAAGAAGCAGGAACGAATAATCAACACAAACGTCTCATCAGTTTTTATTGACTTGGACAGACCAAGGACAAGCCAACCTTCAGTCAGTGTATGTGATGGTGTTTCCACTCATGGCCATACTGAGAAATCTCCAGATAAAAAGACTGTTTCAAAGGAATCTGTAGATGAAGAGCGAGATGACTCTTGTGCATCTGATGCACCATTATTTTCGCAGGTAAGGTTTAATGTCAATGACGTGGTTACCAGGTTGTTGTTGGGCATAACAGTAACATTATCTGAGTGCAGACTCTGAATAAAAGGCAAGCCATGAGGTGGATTTTCTTAACTGAGGGTGGTAAATCTTTGTAATTCTTTACCCAAGGGCTATGTAAGATCAATCATTTGAGGAATCAAGATAAAGTTTCTGGTTCCTGATGACATCAAGGAAGATAGGAATATGGCATGAGGTAGATCAGCCATGATCTAGATTGGAGGAGTAGGCTTAAGGGACTGAACAGCCTCTTGCTTCTGTGTTCCTCTGGTGACAGTATCAAACACTGGTGACATTAAGTGACTGAAACTGATGTACTATTGCAATATAGCTGATAAATAATAATTGATCATAGAAATGTAGAGGGGAGGGAATTCTGCTTTGAGTCACTTTTTTTTATTCCTTGTATAGGGGTGTGAATGATAATTTTTTTAAAAATGTGGCAAAATAGGTTAAAAATAACACCAACGCTTCTATATGTAGTCAGGAAAATTCTTCATAGGTGTTTTGGTAGTGAAGAACTTTAATTCCTTAAAGGACACTTTGGTCCAGCTTTTGGTATTGCACGCAGCAGGGCACTTCATGAATGACTAAAATCAAGGCAAAACATCACCTATACTCGAATACTGATTGGAAAGAGGACTCCAGTAGATTCACTGCTATGGTGAATGCCCCAGTTAATGACTGACCATCACAAGTAACAGAACTATGCAGGGCTCGTGTCCTTGCCTGAGTTAGGAGATCTGGGTTCAAGTCCCAACAACTCCAGAGGTGTGTACTAATATTGCCGAACAGGTTGATATCTATAAAGAACTATGCTTAAGCCTGTTGTGGCACATTGGTTGTGTCCCTACCTGGGACACCTGGAATCATTTATACTTATACCAGATATATCACCTGTCTGAATAGGTTGACTGGAGCATACCTATTAATAAGTCAGTTGACAACACTTTTTAGGATTATCAGTAGGGCTTGTGGGGCATATATGTTGACGCATAGGACCCTGTTCTTTGCCAACACAGAATGTGTTCACAATACCTTGTCCTTTGAGTCAACTTGCCATGTTTAAAACTTAAAACTGGGCCATTAACTGACAGCTGTCAATGACTGGCGTAATCTCCATGGCAATTGACCTCAACCCATAAGAGTACAATTTACAACCCATGAGCACTCCTCTCATACTGTGGAATTGTTTTCTTTGATTTCAAAAGGAAATACCAAAGTAGAATGCAAGATAAAAGGTTTCAACAAATTGTCTTTCAGCAATACTTCTTTTTTTCTTTAAACAATTCATGAATTAAAAATCCTTTGACTTGATCTCCGGTTCATGGCACAGCATGGTGGATCCCAAACTTTAAATCCTCTAACCTTTTTTTATACAACTGACCAGTTCCTGTTTACAGGTTATGTTCCTCATAGTCATAGAATCATAAAGCACAGAAAGAGACCCTTTGGCTCAACTCATCTATGCCAACCAGGTTTCCCAACTCAACTAGTCCCATTTTCTTGCATTTTGGCTCATATCCCTCTAAACCTTTGGAAAACCCATTGGTAATCCTTTTCAACATTAACTGGCTGACTGTCAATTCTTTATTTCCACAGCGAAGCATCTTGAGAGATTATTAAAAGTTCTCAACTGTTCAATTGTAATTGTCAGCTAATTATCCTCTTCAATGCTGGTTATAAAACATAATTAAGGGACTAACTGAATAGACTTAAGTGACATGGAAGTGCTTGTTGAGGCACACACAGTTTATAGCTTTTATTTATTTGAACTTTTTTGTTATATACACAAGCTTTTTGTGTTTGCTGCGGCACAAGCTGTAAGCTATGTTGATGGAATTTAGAAGGATGGGAACAGCTTCATTTGAAGCATGGACCATGAGTTTAATAGTCTGTTTCCAAACTGTAAACTCTAATTAAAACTAGTTATAGTTCAAGGAATTATGGATTAGTGGCTGTACCTTGTACTTACTAATTATTGGGGTGATTTTTTTTAATAAACTTTTATTAGGCAGATGTAAAAAGCAAAGAAATACCTGATTATTGCTTTTGTGGAACTCTTCTACTGCAGATTTACTAACTTGCAAGTAAAGACATATTAGTGTCCAATTCCTAAAAAGAACACACACTCCATTCTCTAAAGCTTGAGTAATACTTTATAAATTTCTGTTCTTATTGACTTGTAACCTGGCATTTTGTTAGAAATGTTTCTATTAGATACTGAATTTTATCAGTTATGGTTTTAAAATCATTCCAATAAACCTGGAGGTGATCTTTTTGCAGGACTTGTGTTTTCTCCAGACTTTGGAAATGAGAACACTTCAGTGACAGACTGTGTAGAATAAATAGATGAGGCCATGGTAAAGAACAAAGTCTGATAAATGCTACTTAAACTATCTTTTAATCATTTATTTTAAGATACCTATCCAGAGATTTTTATTAAAAGTCAGAAGGTTAGAAGTTAATTTAGTTGTTGAAAATGTTTGAGTGCTCTGCCTGTACAAGTGGAGAAGTGATAACCTGAGTAAAGTCACAATTGTAACTTGAACTCATCTTTTCTCTCCTCACTACAGATTAATACAAGTAGTTCTATTCTAAAGACTGGATTTGATTTCCTGGATAATTGGTAATTGCTTCCGCTTCACAATTCTTAATCCAAAAAACCTATCATTTTGGCTTACGATTGCAAAAGTGATACTTCCATTTTAAGTTTGGGAGTTGAGGTGGATGAAAATACTGTTCCAAGCCCTCAGCAGTCAACCGTTCAAGATGACATCACAGATTTGTATATTGTTGCACGTAGGAGTATGTATGAAATGTGCATGTGCTTTATGTATATGGAAAATAATCCCTGAAAAAGTTGTTATTAAATGGAAGCCAAATGTTATTCATCTTTTAAAATGCTCCATGAAATTCAAATGTACATTCGAGCCAGGATTCCTACTACAAACCACTTTCACGGTACCCTTCTGGAAACTATATTACAAGAACACCTGGAGAGGATTGGTTGTTCCAATCAACATTTGAAGAACAACAAGCTTAATCAATGGAAAGAAATTAAGCATATGATTGTCCACTATTAAATATGCAAGCCCAGAAGCTAAAGCAATTATGTAGCAGTCAAGTTTTTTCTTCCAAGTTGAATCCCAGGTTGTTCAAGATAAGTTTTTATACTTCAGCTGTTAAGTGTGCACGTATACCTTGTAAATGGGGAAGAAAAAATCCAAATAAAACTACTTAAATGATTCCAAAGTATGTATATTAATGTATCCATGGTGCTTAGTGAATTAGTGGCAAGATTCCTGAACAAGAAATGATTGTACCCAAGGTGGGTGATAACTACATTTGTGAAATTTGCTATAGAAAGAAAGTGGCGGAGCTTAACTTACATTACTCACCTGTTTTTCGACCAGTAAAAACTATTTTCTGGCTCAGTGCCATAAGTTGGCTGTTCTCTAATCCAATGTAAATAATTCATACAAATTTGAACATTACGGTGATCAATATGGTCATTTAAGCAATGGATCCATCTAACAAATTTAATGTGTTTTTTAACCTCTGAAATGGGTACATGAATAAGTATGCCGAATGCATTTATATCCACACTAAAGTAAAATCCTTCAGAACATGTTGCTCGTTTTCTGCATTTATCTGCTAGAATTATACAATGCTGTTCAGCACAGCAAATTTATATAGTGGAAACAGCCAGCCATTTACTTAAATTTGTTATCATACACAAGTATTCAAAATTGTAACAGTAATTAAAGAATTTAAAATAACATTGGTTTAAAGTTGCACAATAGCCATACAGAAGTAGAGCTTACCTCTTTTTAGATGAGCTGTAGACTAGATGTATGTCATGTTAGTTGCTACACCTTTTTGGAGTGCCTGTCCAAACAGTTGTGCCAGTTTGTTAATTGTAATTGTCAGCTGTCTTTACATGATGCATTTCAACAAAATGTATGTTGCAGATAAATTTTGAAATAAATTCCCAGTTATCTTGTGGTTTATATAAATGAACTGTACTGATTCAATTCAGCACGTTATTCACTGTCAATATGATCCTGTGGTGCACTGCTATGTGTGTCATCATCACTGGTTGTCCCTCCCAGATGAGGATAACTCTCCCATAGTCAGGGTGTGACTTTTGCAGGCTGTTACATTTGGGGTAGGTGAAGCATTGGTATGGCAGCAGGCTCCTTACACTGTTTTTGCGTGGCTTCTGCATTATTTTCCCCCCAACAGCAAGTCTCAAAGTATTGGATGCTTTCCTATATGCTGCTCCTCCACTTTTGGTCTCAGGCCAGTGATTCCCAGAGGGCACCCCTGAAGTGCTTCATCTGTCTAGCTGGGGGTCAGACATGTGGATGATGTGCCCAGCGTATCATGCTTTGCAGCTTCAAGCTGTTCCCACCCAAATTTGATGATAGTCCTTCTCTTCCCAAAACAGTATCCACTGTTATGGAACAGCATCATTCCACCAGTGACAATTTTTTTTCTCTTCCATTTTGTACTAGTGTACTTTACTCGTTTTTGTTACAAATGTCAAACTGTTGTAAATTTTTACACATGGTCCATGAACAGAAAGGATAAACAATGTAGCAGCTCTGAATCAAAATGTGTATCAGATTAGACTATCATCAGGTGGGAGCATTTTTAGTCCGATCTATGTGCTGCTGGCTGAGAATTTCCAGGCCTTTGTTTCAAATACAATGAAATGCAATTGTCCAATTACAGGCTTTCCTTAAGTACTCCATTGGCCAGACAGGTGCTTTTATTGTTGGTTTTTTTTTTTTAAATAAAAAGTCAGTGATTTGTGGTGGTGGGAAGGTCACTTAGTGGTGTGTGATAACTCTTTCTGGATAGAGAAAGAGGGAGGGAAAAAAAAATCAAGTTCCACTGGATAGGTTGTAAAGCCCAAATTTCAGTCTGCTGTACAAGCAAAACTGGCCAGTGTTAATAAGAACTAGCCCATGTTGGGGGAAAATTTATACTGCATATTGAGTGTCAGTCATTGATTTGATTTATTATTCAGGGTACAGTGAAAAGTTTTGTTTTTGTGTTCAGTACAAGCAGATCACAAGAGTCCCTTCAATACAAGATAACTTATAAACAAACATTCTTTTGCAAGGTGTTGACAGACCAGTTGCAATGAACGTTATATCTTAGCAAGTCTTTTTTTTCCTTCCCTCTTGGTGCAAGCAGTAGTTAATTGTATTTCACAAATGTGCAACCAGCTACCACTATCCTAGCTTTGTTTGAGAATACATAATAGGTGACTCAAGATTTATCAGCATCTTTAATTAGACAAAATTGAATTCATTTATCAAACATAAATTTTAAGTAAACAAAATGCCACTGAAAGTTCTACCATAATGTGAAGAAAAACATTTGTAATTAGGAATTTCTGCAAAACATTTTAAGAAAATATAGTGCAAATTTAAAACCATCTCAGTGGCACTATGAAAAGAACCAATGCAAGGTTAGATTTCTAAAAGACGGGTAGCCCACATTAAACAGGTTCACTTTATTTTGAGGGGTAATGTACAGTTTTCCTTTAAACAAATAATTTTGTGGGGGGGAAAACTGGAGAGTCAACCTTTTAGTTTAACAAATTCATATTGGTTATTTAGCTGTAAACTTGCCATGTGACTGATGATATTGCACTTACCAAAGTGAACATATGTTTCCAGTTCCTGTGAATGCAAAATAACAAAGGCTTTACCTCCAAGTGGAATGTGTTAAAACCCACTGGTCTGTGTAACTTCTGAAATATCAAAGTCGAGAAGAGGCAAAAGAAATTATAGCACCATAGCTGGGTGGATGTGTGACACAGATTACCTTCTGTCACTTCCTGTATGTCTCACAACCAGACAAGGGATTCAATTTTTGTGACCCAACATGATTTATTTTGAGATTAAAGGAGATGACTGAATCTTTTTCAGATTAGAATGCTCCAAAGCAGTAATACTTTTGATGTTTGAGAATGTTTCATCGATAGCTGTTGTGTCCCTCTTTGTCAAACTGCTTATATTTGAGAATTAATGGAGTGGATAAATTTTAAATAATCCAAGTCACACATCTAACAACTGTACAATGCTCCTACAATTCATGATGGCCTGCTGCAGAAAACCAAAAAAACACAGCAAACCAAGCCAGAAAATGCTCCAACTGAAATGCAGCAGCTTCTGAAATTACAGGTGTTACTGGGAACATTGTATATGGAAGAGTACATGTAAAGAGTAGGAAACACACCATTTAAAGAA